GTTACCATGAAATACGTTTATACTAATTTTGTAAAATTTTAGAAAAATGTATTACTTTGGTAAATTGTTTTATATAATGACTTAGTTTGGTTAAAAATTCTTCCAATTAATACACGTAGATGTATGAGGTCCTTACAAAACTCCCACTTATGATAGGAAACAAAACTTCGTTACCATTGTTGATGATTACAGTAGATTTACTTGGGCCTGCTTGATTTAATCTAAATCTGAAGTGTATTTTGTACTCAAAGACATTTGTTAATGATAAACACTCAGTTTGGCCTGAAGGTGAAGGTTCAAAATGTCATGAGTTGTTTGCTTCTCTTGGCATTGTGCATCAAATTTCTTGTGCCTACACACTCCAACAAAATGGGGTGGTAGAAACAAAGCACAGACACATATTAAACACTGCTAGAGCACTGAGAATTCATGCTAATATTCCTATTTCTTATTAGGGGCACTGTATAAAGGCTGCATTCCACTTGATAAACAAGACACCTACAGTAGTATTGCAAAATGCTCTATGGTTCTGAACCACAGCTACATCACTTGAAAGTGTTTGGTTGTCTTTGTTTTATGTCTATACTTTCCATGTCTGATAAGTTTGGTCCTAGATCAAAGAAAGGAGTTTTCATGGGATATGCACAAACACAAAAGGGGTATAGAGTGCGCGATTTGGAGTCAAAGTCCTTTTAGATCAGCAGGGATGTCACATTTATAGAAGACCAGTTCCCTTTCTAGACAAGCTTGAATTCTAAACAGTTATTCAGAAGAATATATCTACATCACAAGAAAAATTGTTAACCAAAATAAATGAATTCAGTCTACGTCATGTTAACTTCATATATTGAAACATTACATACTAATAATGTATATGTTAAGTAAAAAATATTAATTATTACATCATCAAAATTAATTATTTTCCTCATGACTTGAGATAATGGAACATATAATCTTAGGATAGAATGATTTACTTCATCAGAATAATGTTACCTCATATTCTGCTAAACTTACTTACTTAACGTCAACAAATCACGCGAAATTTATTAAAATGCAAGAAGAAGAGTAGAAGATAAAAAAATTGTGATTTAAAAATGAGAGGAAACTCTCTATTTATAGTCAACAAAGGGAAGTATGAATAAATTTTTTTTTTTGTGTTATCTGAAAAGCCATGACCTATCCGAAAAGTCACAACTATTTGAAAAAATCAAAATTTATTGAAAATGTCGCAACTTTTTGGAAAAGTCAAAACTCTCGGGAAAAGTCACAACTCATTGAAAAATTAAAACCTTTTGAATAAAAGTCACAACTTATCAAAAAAGTCACAACTCATCGAAAAACTCACAACCTAAATTAAAAATATTACAGTAATTTAACATTCAAATTAGGAATTCATACTTTTAAGATAATATAAAAAATATAAATATAAAAATCGATATAGATATAGATTATTCACAATGTATTCACATTGTACAAAAATATATAAAAAAGTGTTTATACACGCTTTTACAATTATAAAAACTTATTCAAAGACTGATTTTCGTCTCCTACAATAACTTAAAAGGAGTTTTTAAAAAAAATATGTAATGTCCAACACAATATGTTGCACCCACATGGCCATACTTTTTAGTTAAATCGCAAAGCAAATTAACTTTTTACCGTTTCGATTGAAAATAAAATAAAATAATTAAAAATATACTTATCCCAAAGCCCCGTTAATAATTTGTCAATGGCAACAACAATGGGATATCAGACTCTAAACATAAAAAGAACTGATCACAAATTAAAGGGAATTATTTTATATTCATTCCTTAAATACCATTCATTATCCAGCTCACTTGACATGTCAGCAACTTTTGACACGTCACCAAGTTAGTTTATGGCGGTTATAATTTGTTAATCAGTTAGATTAATTTCAATTGTGTTCTATATAAATGGTCCTTCCCGCTCAATTTTTCAATTTTCAACTCAGCTTCTTAATTTCTGTCTGCTTTATCGGAAAATGGATCTTCGAATTCCAGGTTCTTCATCTTCGTCTTCGTCTTTGTTTTATTCTTCTGAAGATGTTGATTTTCTGGTGTAAAATTGGATGATTTTGAAATGTGTTAATTGGAATGCCCTAATGGTGACTGTTATCTTTGATTTTCTCCTATTGCTAGCAAATTTCTTATATTGAAATGTTAAATGCTATGAATAGCGTGTGTAATTTTCTAATTAAATTGATAATTGTTCTTGTTTTACTGAAGACGAAAGGGGTGAAGGTACGGATGCGGATCAAAGACGCCGTGTGAAATTCTGGAAAGACAATCGTGAGAAAGTACAAAAGCAAAGGGGATCAGTTTTGAAATGGGAGACAGTGGAAGAAGAAATGGATGAAGTCATTCTTAAGAATTATTCAAATAATTCTGATAACATCTCACTTGCTGAAACTGCTAAGCCACCATCAGATTTGATCTTGCCACTGTTGAGGTACCAAAAGGAGTGGTTGGCTTGGTCAATAAAGCAAGAAGAATCTACATTCAAGGGGGGTATTCTTGCTGATGAAATGGGAATGGGGAAGACGGTTCAAGCCATAGCACTTGTTCTTGCTCAACGTGAATTAAAGAAAGCAGCTAGTGCTTCCAGTACATTGTCGTCTTCACCAACTACTTCCCAGGAACTCCCAACAGTAAAAGGAACTCTTGTTGTATGTCCTGTGATTGGAGCATTGCAATGGTTCCGAGAGATTGAAAATTGCACCACTAAAGACAGCAACAAAATTCTTCTTTATCATGGCACCAACAGGGGGAAATTTACGTCCAACCTGGAGGAATTTGATTTTGTCATTACGACATACTCCACTATCCAGGCTGATTATAGGCCAAAAAAGTCAAAGCAGAAGAGCAAGAACTCAAAATTGTGTGACGATGGTTCTAGTGATAATTCAGTCAGTGTTGCTGAAGATATGTCCAGAAGGAAGTCAATTCTGCATTCACTGAAGTGGGATCGTATCATTTTGGATGAGGCAAGTCATGCATTCACAGATTCTTGGTTCATTTGTTGTTTTTCAAGTCATGTTATAGAGTTGTAAATGTGGAGATTGGTATGGTGAACTTTTAATGAGCTAGTGATTATAAAGAAACCTATGCCGTTAACTGATGAATAATGTCATATCAGCTAAGATGCTTATTAGAATGTGAAGAATCTTGTGGTGGCTATGAAGAAACGTATACAGTTAACTGCTGAATAATGTAGGTGTAAATATGTCCAACTATTAAAACTCAGCAAATTGTAAGAGCACGAAATTTATCTCATCACGTGAAATTTTATTTTCTATCTTCATGATGAACAATGCTGCATGTAGTTTGTGCCTTGTCTAGCTTCATCACATTGGTGGTAACGCATGAACTAGCCTCTGAGAGTAGAACTACTCAATTTCATCACTTTGGTGGTAACGCATGATCTATTATCTGCAATGTTCTTAACTGATTGAACTTCTGTGGCATAGGCTCATCAAATCAAATCTGTAAGCAATGCCACCACAAAAGCGGTTCTTGCTTTAGAATCTTCTTATAAGTGGGCCTTAACTGGTACACCCCTGCAAAACTGCATTGGAGAATTGTACTCACTTGTAAGTTAACTTCTGCTGGATTCATTACATTTTCTTTACTTTTTATAGTTCTGAGGTTAATTATATTCTTTACTTCAATACAGGTCCGTTTTTTACAAGTTACTCCTTATGCTTATTACTTTTGCGAAAATTGTAATTGCAGCGGACTTGATTTAAGGTAGACACAAATATTCTTTTTCTAAATCCTTGTTCCTATCCCTTAGCATGAAAGACAAAATGACTCAAAATCTATTTTACTTTATATTATTATACTTTTGCTTCTCAAACAATTTTTACTTATGAAATATCTTGTGCTCTTTGATAAATTCTACAGCTTCTCTGATAAATGCCCACAGTGCCGTCCCTGGCCTTGCCGACGTGCATGCCACTTCCTATGGTGGAAGAAAGTAAGTTAAGAGTAAATAATATACATATTTTTGAGGTTCATCTTTTTGCTGACATAGTAAAGTTGAAACGTCTTCTTTTTTCTTTTTTCTAGTATATTGAAAAACCTTCAGCAAATAAGCGGTTCATGTCCGAGAGGATGCATGGAGATGCTATGGTTTTGTTGAAGCACAAAATTCTGAAAAGCATAATGCTAAGACGTACCAAAAAAAGAAAGAGTTGCTGATCTTTCACTTCCCATGAAGAATTTAAGTTCTGTCTTGCAGTAGTGTCGTGTGCTTCAATTTCAATAAGAATCTTCTATTATTGGTTACTATTTTTGGGTTCAGGTTTTTATAAGAAAAAACTCTTTGGACGTGGATGAATTTAACTACTACAAGTCATTGCACAATAAAAGTCGAGAACAGCTCGATAGGTATTTTTCAAACTCGAGCTCTTATTCTTTGGTCCACTTTCTTGGCTCCAGCTGCACCAATTTGCTGGTTCATTGTTGTTCTTTTCTTTTTGCTGTATATCCCGTTCTCTTGTTTATACATGGATTACTTGCATTAAATCTGTTTCCTATAATTGCTTGTTCTTAAATAGTTATTGAACATATTGGGTTTTTTTTAACTTAATCTTATACATCTTTTTCTCCCCATAAAATTCTTTAATCATTTGAGTCATAACTGTATAACTGTATCCACATTTCGTATTTTGGTGCAGATATGTCGAGGATGGAATTCTGATGAATAACTATGCTCACGTTTTTGCTATGATCACACGCCTACGGCAGGTACCACATTTCGGATATATGCTTGATAATTGTAATGGATGATTGCATCCATCTTCTTGTTTTTTCTTTTCTCAATGTGTCTTTTTGTTGCTTCACTTTTATGTGGCTGCTTTTGGTGCTAAGCTTTTTAAATCGAGTTATCCATTTTTTAGTTTAGTGGCTGGGGTTGGTTGAGTAGTTAGAACATAACAATGGATATTTAATTCAATTTGGTGTTCACCAAAAAAGTTGGTTGTCAAAAATTTGGTCAAGTAAATTATGAGACCACGTACCACGAGTATCATTTTTTCACTGCTCAAATATGTTATATTGTTGTAAAGATTGGACTATGGAAGACTTATCATACGACTGCTCATTTTCTTGTCCTTCTATTCTATGAGCGGAAATACAGACACTGACCTTTCTTTTGCTTTGTCTAAAGTCTGAAATCGCCTCTCATAAATATATTTTTCTTACTATGGGTCATCACCTAAATTTGATTGCAGAAAATTTATGACCAATATAATGTCTTTCTTTAATTGGCAGGCAGCTGATCATCGCTACCTTGTGATGTACTCTAGAAAAGAATTGGCTAGTGGAAATAAAAAGGCTGGAGATGTTGAACAATCATGTCACTTATGTCATTATGCAGTAGAAGATCCAGTAGTGAGTTTGCGCACCTCTACCCACTCCCTCCCCTATACCAAGAAATAAGAAAAGAGAGTGAGAAAGGAATACCAAACATGTTACTCAGCTGAAGTTCAATTTTTGATAGCTCTCTGCTT